TTGTTGTTGTTGTTGTTGTTGTTGTTGTTGTTAATCGGTTGTTGATATGTAAGTTCGTGGTTGTATCCGCTGTTGTTGATTGCTTCCTGGTATGGGGTTATGGTCTCGTTGAAAACGTCTTGATTTGAGGCTATGTTGGCGAGTCTTTTGTTGATGTTAAGGGGTATATTCTTTAGTAGTGATGGGGGGTGGTTACTTTGTCTGTGGACATATAATAGTTTTTTGTTGGGTTTCATATATGGCTTGAAGGTTGAATTTGTTAGGTTAAGTGTTACGTCGAGGAAGTTCATAATTTTCTTGTTTGCGTCTATGGTGATCTTGAGATCGTTTGCTTTGAATGCTTGCGTGACTTGTTTTTTGATCTGCTCGATTTTTCTTGGTGTTGCTTTACATGCTATCAAGCCATCGTCACGGTAAACTTCAACAGACACCTACATAGGACTAGCAACAAACTTTAAAGAACGCTACAGGAACCATATGTCATCCTTTAAACTCAGCAAAAATAGAAACTCAACAGAACTGTCAAAGCACATATGGAACCTAAAAGACGAGAATAGGGACTTTGATATTAAATGGAAGATTATTAAAAAATGTAAACCTTATGATAATGTTAACAAAAAATGTAACCTATGTTTAAGCGAAAAATTCATCATGATTTGTAAAAATCACCTATGTACACTTAACAAACGCAACGAATTAGCAAGTCTGTGCCCCCATCGTAATAGATACACACTTAAGAAATTTAGACCATAATGTCACGCAATTGTAATTTAAAACGAATAGATTTTAAAATGCTAGTTATATATCCTAACTAAGGTCATTCATTGTAACTGCCTGATGAGTGTGGCCGTCTCGCGATGGTCATACGAAACAGATTTGTCGCAACTAAGACAATGAATCATTCCTAACGTCTAAAATTCAATTTATATATATACACCTACTTGCAAGAACGTTGACATACGAAAATAGAACATTAGTGATTTAGTGGGATAGGAATTATATTAAAAAACAAAAGAAGATCACTGAAGATGAACTTTTTACTTTTGTCTTTTAATGAATTCCTTTCTCACTAAATTACTAATGTTCTATTTTCGTATGTCAACGTTCTTGCAAGTAGGTATATATATTAAATAAAGGAATATATACTATATTCTAATTATACAAAACGCATACACACATACATACATACACACACAGATATATATTATAGAATATATTAACATAATATATTATATAGACATATGTATGTACGCATACACTCAATTGAAGAATCGTCGTCGGGTTCAGAAACATAGAACATAAAAGCTGAGACCGAAATGGCACATGGGAAATGACATAATTATATTATAATTTATTCATTTGCGTCATCCATACAGTCGGTTTAGAATGCCAAACGCGTATTAAAAACAGTGGATGATGCCACGGGTCGCCGATCAAAGCATGCATCTAATTAACGTACTTCCCATGTGCAATTTCGGTCTCAACTTCTATGTTTTATGTTTCTGAACCCGACAACGATTCTTCAATTGAGTGTAGTTAATCACCTGAAAAGCTACAAAGCCGAGACCGACAAGGATTGTGGGTAGATACATTTTACATGTTTCAACCGCTTGATAACTGTGGATGGACTTGAGATCTTCTACCAGTTACAAGTTAACCTCCTCTGAGTATCCTCAACTGCTGCAGTTTTTGTAAAAAGCTTCACTTGTTGGATATAAAACATTTCATCATGATTCTCAGCGATCACAGCTTTCTAGGTTTTTGGTGACTAACTTTATTGAAATAAGTATATACATACACCCACAGACAAGCATGAAAACATTTATTACCATAATAGATATAACAATATACATCCACGAATACATACATATACTAAGACATAGTCTAAGCGAGTACATTCATATATAATACTTATTCTCTCAGTATCTATATGGTATCTATTAGTGTCTATCTAAAAAAAATAATATTTATGGAATCTGCAAGCGCTGTTTGGCTTTGTTTATATATGTTTTATACACTTGTGTGTGAAAAAGATTTAAAGTCGGTAATAGCGCAGCGCGCTGATTCTAAAAATAGCTTAAAGATTCGGACAAACATTGCATTCTGATTAACCGCTACGAGGATCAGTTATACGAACCGATTTTATTATTTTTACTTAAAGTTACAATAATAACCCATGTAAACTAAGATCAACTGCGATCGGCTGTGAAAATTCTCTGCTGAAAGTAAACTTGTAAGTTTGTTTGTCCGAATTTCGCCTTTGTTTTCGTTTTTATGACGTCACGGCTGTGCTGCGCTATTCATTGGACTTTGCGTTTTTCGAGTTTCAAGTAATCTGGGAGCGATGGGTCCCACAGCGATTTATGAGCTATACGTAGTAGATGATAATAGATTATAATTATAAGTCAAGTTCTAGTAGTGTTTACACGTGATCGTGAATACCAGAATACCAATTCGAACTCTAAGGCGCCTAAACAGCAAAAGTAGAAAGCTCAGACAGTTTGTTTATCACAGTATAAGTTCAGGTATACCCAAATCTTCTAAACGACATGATTATATTAACAGTGGAAAGTAAATAAAATGTTAGTTTTTTAAAGTTAAAGAGACGCATACGAACAGTAATTACTTCGAGAATATTTAATTGCAGAATTAAAGCTAGTAGATATATATCATTGTTATTAGACTAGTTACTGTTAGGATTAATCATTAGAATTTTTAAACATTAAAGGAATTAGTCGTATTTTTAGGGTTTGATTTTAAATAAATGTTAATAATATTTGGAATAATTAGACTACTCAAAAGTAAAAAAGTGCTTACTCCTTGTATACTTTAGTCAACGTTGACTCTACTTTAGTAAATATATTCATTTTACAAACAGCTAAATTCGTGCTAGAATATTTTTGGAGGATTTTAACAGTTTTCCATCCTTAATTATTTCACTCAAAAACTTTAGTCACCACAGAGTATATTAATAATAAGTTCAGTCAAGATGTGCATTATTATGCAAATCAATTATTTCATAATTTGAGTTCAAATAATTACATAACAACACAAGAGTTACCAACAACCGTTGATGATTGTGGAGTAGAGGTAGCTTTAGGTCTACATAATGGTACTTTAGACGGAGTATACCATCTATTGTAAACTACATGACCAGATTTTTGTCTGGGGTGGCCGCGTAGTAATACAAACGGCGGTTATTCACGCACTTATGCGCCTACTCTCAGTCCTCGCACATTCCACACTAGCAAAGTTTTCTTTCATGAAGCCCGAGTTCACACAGGTATGCGTCTATTTATTTCATAGTTTCACGCTAAGACTCATAATGAATGTTGGTTAAAAAAAAGTGCACGATTACATCATGGTACTTCATTAAGAGATTAATAAAATATCTTATTATACAATCAAAATATTCACCCGTTTTTAATTGCAAGAAAAAAATCATTAATTGCAAAAAATCGTCCACAGTCGATCCCAGTGCTGTACAAAACATGCGTCTATATTGCGTCATGATAAGGCCGACTTCCTCTCCCCATAGGGCTAGTTTTGTCCCCACAGAAAATTCTTTACTATACTAAATGGCCAATCTTAAGTTTGTCAAGCATTTCAGTTATAAAATTCATTTAACGAGTCGTAGGTTAGCTTTGGCCTTAATCCTAATAACTTCATAGTTGGTTGATTTACTATGATTTATAATTGCAGCGGCTGCAGAAGGATGCAAAGGCATGACGTTTAAGGATACATTTGAAGGCAAAGCTTTGAAGAACCACGTGATCAAGACTGAACAAGCCACAAACGACGCACACTGTGAGTCTAAGTGTTTCATTGATGATCGATGCATCGCTTACAGCTTTGGGAAAGACAAGGACAATCAGAAACAAATGTGCGAATTAAGTGAGTCAGATCACGTGATGCATCCTGACGATCTTGTTGATCGAGAAGACACAATATATCGGCGTGCTGAGGTAACTATGTCCGTGTGTCTTAAACGGAGTAGACTATATGATGATAAGGTAGGATTGATGGGATGGCTACTGTTTAATGCAAGAAACCACTTTTTCCTAGAATAACTGCAATTGTCAGAACTACCAGGTTTGTCGCGTGAACTTTGTGGATGACACTCATCGATGTGAATGCAAAGCTGGGTTTACTGGGAACCTGTGCGATCAAGGTGAGAGGGAAACTTTATATTCGTTTGTTGTTTTGCCAGTTTTTATTTTTATTTCTATTCATTTATTTATTTATTTATTTTATTGTTTCTATGGAGGTAATATTGAGTGGGAAACAATTGCGATGCTAACTTTTTCCAAAAAAAAAAACTTCTTACGAAGGCACGTTTATGAATAAAAAGATATCCTAAGAGTTGTCTTGTCATCAGCTGATCACTGGATCATCATATGAGGACAGGTTAAGAGTTGTCTTGTCACCAGCTGATCACTGGATCACTGCCTCGTCACGAGTTGATTACTGCATGATATGGATAACCACATTTTTTGGTGATGAGGAAAATTTTTATGGAAATGATATTTGAGTTTTCCTCGAACAGCAAAACAAGAAGAACTATGGCTTAACATTAACATTGATTTTCCATTAACAAAGTGGTATGCTAGCATAGTAAGGACGTTTTGAGAGTCAACGAAAATGAGTAGCTCTTGTGGTCGGGCTAGATTTTTGTATTCTTTATAAGCTATTGATATTTTTGGTAATGGGCTGTTTTCTTCCTTTCCTAAAAGCCAAAAGTTACTTTGGTAACTTGAGGGTACTGGGGATTGTTATAGTCCAACGCTATTTCAAATAATCGATACTCTGAAACAGCCTCTAACCTGACCAAAGTGAGGGCACGGTGTTTTTGCGGAGGAAGGAAACCGAAGATTATCCTAGTTATGATGAAGTCAATATTTCTTAAATACAGAGATAAAGCCGTGTGATTCAACTCCATGCCTGAATGGAGCAACTTGCATCAATAATGCAGATCAGTTTGGTTGTACGTGCAGTGCAGGATTTACTGGACAAGTTTGTGAAATAGGTGAGAATATCCTTAGATCCACATATCTTTATACCCTTATATCCATGTATCCTTTTTAACTCAATTTCGTGCAATACTTATTAACTGATAATAATGTATTAATTATAATCATCATCATAATCATTATCATATTTATCACAATCACAATCACGATGTATAATAATAATAATAATGATAATAAT